CTCTAACAATATAATAATAACCTTATTTTTTTTAAATAGTTTGCTACAAGATTTGATAAATTTATTAAAATCATTTTTTGATACAATAGTACTTTTATCTAGTTCAAAATACATCACTTTAAACTTTGTATATCTAACAATTTATTTTTTTAATAGAAAGTTTTTCAATGAATGATAAATTAAATGATGAATTATTTGATTTAATTTATGATTTTGAATAACCTGAATATAATTATAAAAATTTACTAGGTAATATATATTCTAATTTAATGTATATTTAAAAAATTATTTAATTATTAATAGAATAATATTATTAATTTTGAAAAATCTTTTTTATTTATAATTAAGATTTCAATGCTATTACTAATATACAAAATAAAAATTCACTAATAACTAATAAAAATAATAACTTAAATTTGAGTAAAAAATTAATTTACTGTATAATTTATTAATACCTATTATTTTTTTAATAAAAAATTTTATTTATTTAAGATTCTAATGATATATAAAATAGATATTTGGTAATAGTTGATGAAGGTAATAAAATAAATTCAGATGATAAATTTGTAAGAAATGCAATAGTTGAACTGAGGCTTAGCAGAATTTCATTAAGAGGTGTAAATGGAAAAAGTTATAGAACACAAATAAGAAGAAGAAGATAAGTAAAAAGAAATAAAATGAAAAGAGTAAATATAGATCCTAGATTTTGAAATTGAAAACTTATTAAAGCTTCAGTTAATACTACTAATCTTTTAGAAAAGGTTAAGGCTGTTTGCTATTTATCTATAAAAGAATTAATTTACCTAATTTAAAGCTTTATTTTTAGTTAATAAAATTAATTTTTAGATGAGGGATAGAGGGATTAGCTTTATAATAAAGTAAAATTAGCTTATTTCTAATATATCCTTTATTATTTGAAAATTTAGATGAATAGCAATTGTTGAAAAGAAAGTCCTTTCATATTATAAAATATAAAAATATGAAATTATACTTTAAATATTCAAACAATTTTTCAATTAATAGTTTTACTAATACTTTTTTTCTTCCTATCATATTATAGAGTCAAGAATTCATAAAAATTATTATCATGTGATATTTTAAATAAATAATTAAAGAAATATTCAATTTAAATAAAAGATTATAACAGATAAATATTTAATAGAAAACTAAATTATAAAATACAGATAAACTATTAGCTAATAAATAAAATACTTACTAAAAAAAAGAATTAATTATCAAAATCATATGAATAAAAGAATAAATTATTATTGAATATTAAACAAATTCTAAGTAAGAATAACAAAAAAATTTTTAAAAAGAAAATATAATATTATAAAATAGATTAAAATTAATAAAATTAACAGAATATTTAGATTAGAAATAATAGAATTAATAGAATATTTAGATTAGAAATAATAGAATTAACAGAATATTTAGATTAGAAATAACAAAATTAATAGATTAATTAGAATAGAAATAATGAAAATATTAGAAAATATTAAAAGAAAATAACAGTAAACTCAGAAAGAATTTAACAAAAATTACAGAAATTACAGAAAAGAAAATTAAAAATTTACAGAAATATTAGAAAAAGAAAAATAAAAAATTATAGAAATCACAGAAAAGATTTATAATTATTTTATTAAAACTGTACATAAGCTGACTTGGTTTAGATTGCCACTAGTTCAAACTGAGTTACTTTTTTAGCTTAAATTAGCTTAGCTCATAAAGAGCAATTGACAAGCTAAGCTAAACTAATATGACTTGCAAGATAGCTTGTTCAGTTTGCATTTATATTTAAAAATAAAATTTCATCAAGAAAAATGTTTCTTATTAAGAAAAAATATTTTTAGAATAATTCCTTTTGAGAGAAATATTTCTGAAATAATTTACTTCAAGAGGAATATTTTCAGAATGATTTTCATCAAAAGAAAAGTTTTCAGATGATTCTCTTTGAAAAAAATGTTTGAGAAATAATTTCTTTTAAGAAAAATATTTTCAGAATGATTTTCTTTGAGAGAAATGTTTTCAGAATGATTCCTTTTGAAAAAAATATTTTCAAAATAATTTTCTTTAAGAAAAACATTTCTGGAATGATTTCTTTTAAGAGAAATATTTCTAAAATGATTCTTTTCAATAGAAACATTTTCAAAATATTTCCCTTTAAGAGAATTATTTTCAGAATAGTTTTTATAAAAGATTTTATTTCAGAAGCAAATCATTTAAGAAAATTGCTCTAGAATATAATCCTTTAATGAAATCATTTTAGAAGTGAAACCCTTCAAGAAAATCACTTTGAAAGTGAAATCTTTATGAAAATCATTTTAAAAGTAAAGTCCTTTATAGAAATCACCTCAGAAGTAATATCCTTCAAAAAAATCGTTTTAAAAGTAAAATCTTTTAAAAAAATCACTTTAAAAACAATTCTTTAAAAAAATTGCTTTAGAAGCAAAATCCTTTAAGAAAATCATTCTAGAAATGAAATCCTTTAAGAAAATCATTTTAGAAATGAAATCCTTTAAGAAAATCACTCTAGAAGTGAAATTCTTTAAGGAAATTATTCTGAAAGTAAAATCTTTTAAAAAAATCGCTTTAAAAATAAAATTTTTTAAGAAAATCGTTCTGGAAGAAAAATCCTTTAAAAAAATCACTTTGAAAGTAAAATCCTTAATAAAAATCATTTCAGAAGTGAAATCCTTTGAAAATCACTTCAGAAGTGAATTCCTTCAGAAAAATCACTCCAGAAGCGAATTCTTTTAAGAAAATATTGTCAGATGCATTTTTCTTTAAAGGAAATATCACTGAATTTATTTTTCTTCAAAAGAAATGACATCAGGTTCATTTTTCTTCAAAAAAAATATTACTAGAGCTATTTTTCTTTAAAGAAAATGTCTCTAGGATTATTTTTCTTCAAAAAAAATGTCACTGAAGCTATTTTCTTCAAAAAATGTCACTGTGACCATTTTCTTTAAATAAATATTATTAGAACAACTTTTTTTTAAAGAAAAACTGCTTTTGAATTTATTTTCTTTAAAGAAAAAAATGCAAGCCGATAAGCTGAGCTGCAGCATGAGGCAAGCCATAACATAAGGCAGTTTGTTTAGTTTATAGCTTATTTATAGTAATTTAAGCTGAATCTAAATAAGCTAGCTTATTTAGCTTGTAAGCTGCTCAACTTATACGAAACTCTAAATTTATATATAAATAAAGATAATAATTTTACTATGTAAATTAATTAATTATGTAACCTTATTATATAATAATAAAAGAAAAAATTATGCATAAATTTAATATTTAAAAAAAATAATAAGTTTATCTAATTTTTAGTATAATATTAATTAAAATAATAAATTATAATATAATAAATTTTATTTTAATAAATAATAAACTTATCTAAATAATATAGAGACAGTCAATAAAAAAGGAAAAAATCTACAAATTTTGAGTAATTTTAATTATTAAGTTAGTTTTATTTACATAATTATAATTAGCTGAGTAAACTAATAAAAAAATTTTGACTAAAAAGTGAATTTTTTTTTTTTACTGATTGCTTTCTATATCTATATAACTACTTCTTTGATATATTAAAGTTATAAATGAATTGTCATTAAAAGTTATTTGAGGATTTACTACTTTATTTAATAATAAACTAAAACTAATATATCAATAACAGAAAGAAAATTAAATAAGATAAATAAATAAAAGATATAAAAAAAAATATATTATAATAAAATAATTAAATAAAAGGTTCAGACTCAAAAAATAAAAAAATAAAGTAAAGAAATAATGAAAATCTTACATCTATAAAAAAGTAAAAAAACTGAAGATTAAAAAAATAAAAAGAAAGAAAATTATAAGAAAATAATCAAATAGAGAAAAAAAAAGAAAATAAATAATAAAAAATAACAACAAATTAGAATAAAGAACTTTTATAAAGAAGAATAACAATGCTGAAATAATGAAATTGAAAGGAATTAATAAAGTAATGAAATGATAAAATATTTAATTAAAATAAATAAAATAATTAAAAATAAGATTCTTAGACAAATAAAATTAATTTATAACAAATTCTCTTAAAAATGAGTGGCAGAAATAATTTAAAAAGATATAGCTTTTATCAAAGCTATCAAAATCAGAAAATATTAAAAATTTGTATAAATAGAGTTTTAGCAATTACAATATCTAATATTGATCATCTTACTTTAATTAAAAACTCTTATATATATAGTTGAAGATGGATACTATTCTTTATGCAGTAATAGTTAGTTATCAAATGTTTACTTCTTTTAATTGAATAGCAATGCTAATTCTACTAGTGATTATCATTAGAACCTAACAGAACAAATAGTTGGTCTGATAGAAATTTTCTAATTATAATTATTAAGCAGTTTATTTTATTTTTTTCTACTTTTGTAACTAGTTTTTTTTAGGATTTTTATGTAATATTTTTATTGAATTTGAATATTATTAATAAAATAAGCTTTAAAAAAAATAAAATTACATAATACTAATAAAATTAATACAAGTTGCAAAATTATATAAATTTCATAATATTTTAAATTTATGGAAAATCATCAAAATCAATTATTATAAAAATTTAGATTTATTAAAATCTTTATATTTATTAAATAATAAATTATTTATTTATTTAATATTTATTTTTGAAAATAAATAATAAATACTAATAGATAAGGCATCTATTATTCTTTAATAATCAATTAGTTATTTTTTAAAACATTTAGTTAATTTCTGAAAAATTGATTATTTTTTTTTTTTTATTTTAAAAAAAGTCTCAAAATTTAGAGATATAACAAATCAATTTCAAAAAGATAAGATGTTTCATACTTAACAATTTACTTTTACAGATTCAGTTTAGATTGAGATCGATTTGTAAGCAATCCTCGAAACTGCCCATTTTTTTTTAATTTTGTCGGTGCGACCCAACACGTGATCTGGTGTACGAAATCAAAAATAATTCCTCTAGATTTCGAGAAGTTGTAATGTACTCGTTCCAAATACTTCGCGCATTTCGTCACCGTTTCCTTGCCTTAAGAAACATTTCAGTGCGATCTGTTTCTTCAGTCACGAACCTTCCTTATATAGAAACCAACACAAGAAAGGTTTGTAGAGTTTTGTTGCATTTTATCCTTGTATTTTATTTTAAGGCTTTGAATTTGATACATATACTTCTTGCGCGTTAACGATTACATAGAAATTAGAAGCATCATTACCAAGTTCTAATGGAATAACACAAATTACAACTCTGCCAAATGGTGTACGTGTTGCAACTGAAAATACCCCAGGTCATTTTTCGGCCGTTGGTTTGTATATTGATGCAGGATCTAGGTACGAGACACCACGAACTTTGGGTACAAGTCATATATTAGATCGACTAGCATTCAAGGTAAATATTTAATACATAAGTATATTTTAAATATTTGCGTTTTTCCATTCTTATAAAATTATTATTATTATGGTTATAAAAAAAAAAGAGTACACAAAATCATTCAATCGAACAAATTAATTCGATAGTAGATTCTCTTGGTGGCAATATAATGTGTGCTAGTAGTCGTGAAACCATTATGTATCAGTCTGCTATTTTCTCTCAGGATCTTGCTAAGACTATAGCTCTTTTTTCAGACGTTATTCGCAATCTTTGTATTACTCCAGAAGAAGTGGAGGAACAAAAGCAAACAGCACTTTATGAAATTCAGGAAATATGGCAAAAACCTGAAATGATATTACCAGAACTACTTCATACAGTGGCATTTAAGGATAATACGTTAGGAAATCCTTTGTTGTGTCCAGAGGATAGACTTGCTATGATGACACCAAACTTGATTAAAGAATATATGTCAACATGGTATCGTCCAGAGCGAATGGTTGTAGCCTTTGCTGGATCTCAACATGAAGATGCTGTTGAACAGACGATGAAATATTTTGGCGATATGCCTAAATCAGCTGAATTTAATGCACATACTTTGTTACCATTTACAACACCAAAACAAAAGCAAACAGGAGCATCGTTCTATAAAACAATCACAACGGCAGCTTCATCACTTCTTCATGCAAATTCAAATTATGCAACAGCAACTCAGAGAGCGCATTACACAGGCGGTTCACTGTTTTTAAATCACCCACTTCCGAATACATATGTTAACATTGCTTTTGAAGGGCTTCCAGTTCATGATCCAGATATCTATGGACTTGCCGTACTTCAAATGCTTCTTGGGGGAGGTGGATCTTTTTCGGCTGGTGGACCTGGGAAAGGAATGCATACTCGTCTGTTTACACATGTGCTTAATAGGTATCCATGGATGGAATCTTGCATGTGCTTTAATCACTGTTATACCGACTCTGGACTTTTTGGTATTATGGCATCATGTAATCCAGAGTTTAATACTTCCATTATAGATGTTATTGCACAACAATTTGATTTTGTATCAGGTTTCGGAAGCGAATGTATAACACAGTTGGAACTTTTACGCGCAAAAAATCAATTAAAAAGTAGTTTGCTCATGAATTTAGAATCCAGGATGGTCCAATTAGAAGATTTGGGGAGACAGGTTTGTGCATTTTTATATGTTAATTTTTATAGATGTTTAATCTTGCGTATATTAATCTTTAATCTAAAACGTAGGTTCAGGTTTATGGTTATAAAGTACCTGTAGAAGAAATGTGTAAAAAAATTGATAATGTTACCTTGGAAGAACTTGTGAGAATAGCAAGAAAAGTAGTTAGAGGTCAAGTACATAATGAGGGTAATGGTACAGGTCAAGTTACAATAGTAGCTCAAGGTGACTTAAATGGATTACAAGATGTGCAAAAAATATGTGAAAAATATGGTCTAGGTAAAACTGGATAACATTTGAATTAAAAGTGAATACAACTGAAGTAAAATTCCACTATTATTATATGCATTATAACTATATTTGGAACATTAAATGCCCCGACATGTTACACTGCATAACTTCCGCTTGTGTAACGAATGTTTATAGATCACATGATCTTCTCGTCTGCTTTTTTTTCAGAATTTTTGAAATCGGCTTGGCAATTTATGATCATTGATAATTTTTTTTTTAAATAGGATAGGGAAAATGGGCCGTGGTTATAGAAAAGAGCCATTTGCGGTAGTGTAACTTTATAATCGATTTTTATACGGAAAGCAAAGATCGTACATTGTGTTCCCAACAATATACAAAATTATAATAATTTAGAAGACATTTTTTGATCATCTAATCGAAATAGCATTCTTTCAAGCGATCACATGATTAAATATTAATTACCAGATCTCCAATAGAATATTCCACAGTTTTACAAAATTTCTTGGCATTTTTTTTTTTTTGCTGATTTATATAAAGGTTTCCATATAATTTAGATCACGTGGACTTTAATTTAGCTGCATAAAATGTTGCATGCATAATAAAAAGTCAGGGTATGGTTCTCTTTTTTTCTATTATATATAGTTTTGCCAAGACTTTTTATTTTTCGTTACACTAATCTAGAACATATATAGATTCGATTTACCAAATCGGAAATTTTTTTTTTGTAATAAATCAAAAGGTGATTTTTTTGAATTCCCTTATTTTATATATCAAATAAACGGTTTATTAATTAATAATATTATAAAAGTGTCCCGATATATTTTTTCTCTTCCAATTTTTTTTGTATTTATTTATTTTTATTTTAAACCCATTCTTTTTTTCACCTTTAAAATTCAACTTTTTTTTTGTCACCCTTTTAGTTCTCCTAAATATATATTTGGTACATAACACGAGACCCCTTTTTAATTAATTATGCCGCAGTAACTTTCCGATTCCTTCATAAAATTTTACGCCCCTACAAACTACACGATATACGCCCATATTAATCTCTCGTCATAAATTCAATAATTTTCAATAATTTCAAGGTGGGTAACGGTACGGTGACAATTAATCTAGATCACTTGTAAAATCTTAAAAATCTATCTGTACTTTCTCGAACTAAATTCAACCTAATTCGTCTTTAATAATAATTCCCAATAAATTATTTTTGTTACGTGTAGGTCACGTTTCTTCTATGGAAATCTTCATAGTATTTCTCCGATAATATTCCAATAATCTTTATAGTGTGCGTTAATCAATATATATATAATTAAAGCAAAAGACCTCTTTTAAATTGTTGCTTAATCCATTTTTTATTTTATTTTATTTTTTTTTTTAACTCTTAGAATCATTATTGTTTAATTTCAAATTACATTTTTTGATTCACAAGTATTTTTTTTTTTTTCTTCTAGAGAATTTTTTTAAAAAAAGGTAAAATTTTTTTTTTTTTCTTTCATTATATTAAATATATATGTATATTATTATAATTGGCTCAAAATATTTTTCAAAATTCAAATTTCAAAGTTCAAGTTAACGCGATATAAAAAAAAAAAAAGAATTTTTTTTTAACCGATTACTGATTTCTTCTTTTTCTTTTGTATACATGCATGTGTATTTTTTCAATAGATCATCTCATCCATCCCTTTTTTTTAACTTTCTTTTCTTTTCAATAAAGACATTTCCAATTTGGATCATCCTTGGCGTAAAGTCTATACATGTATCATAAAATATAATATCAATTTACCAAAAATCAATTGCAATTTGAATTCCATAGGCTGATTGAAAAGTTTTTCTTTCACTTGCTGCGCCTCTCGGAATGACATCATCAAGGATATCACATTTACTCACCCAACCAACATGCGTAGTGGAAAACGTACTTCTTCAACCAACGTTAAACGTATTGGACCGCTGCGCGATCTCACAAACGTGTAAAACGCTACGTGGATTTACGTCAACACTTTATTCAATATTTGATTTCCCTTTATACCCTTCGAATATAACATCATTATCGCATAAGAAATCATTGGCAATTAAACCACAAGATTTAAAATGTGTGCCGATAATAGTAGTTCGTTCTGGAGTTTATAACGTGGCGATAGGATCAGATGGTAATGATTATTCTGCCATATTTTTCAACAAGAAGGGAATCGTACGTGTCGTTAAGGTTAGGACAAAAAAGGATGGTGTATCAATTGAGTGTTTGTATTCAGTTCTTGTGCAAAGAATGTTGTTTACTTGTTCAAAATTTAAAGATAGAGTTTTAATAATCGAATCACCACCTGGAAAAGATTATTTTGCTCATACTAGTACGCTACAGGAAATCCTTGAGAAATTTGACAACTTAACCCTCTATAAACATTCCGGAACTAAATTTAATTTGACCTCGGGATCATCGTCATCAACAGCCAAGACCACAGAAAACATCACCCCTTCCAACGATAACAACAATGATAACAATAATGAAACCATAAGAGACGTAGATTTTATGTCATGGCAAAGTACAAAACCAACGAGAGACATGTTACTTAAAGGAATTGTTGGAATGATCAGAAGATTTCGTCTAAGGGAATTGGCAAATTCAAAAGAAATCTCAACAATTGCTAACGATGGTAAACAGCGTTGGTACATTAATGCATTGATGCAATTTCATTATAGATATTTAATGTGCCAACAAAAACTTTACGTTTATGGTAATTCGTTAAGAAAACGTCACACGGAGATCATGACCTTCTTAAAAAATGAGTTCAAACAATCTTTATTATCAACATTTTCGAATGAGTGGTCATATAATAATGAGAGTGAGGATGAATTAAAATCATCTAATGGTATCTTTTCGTTCGTAATGGATTTTAAAAAAAATCATTCATCATCTAACTCATTATCTAGAATTATTAATTTATCATCAAATTCTTCTTTAGCGAATAATGAAATCTATTATCGTGAAGCAGAAATAGAACAGCAATTGGCTCAGCTTAATGAACGTCACTTATTTTTAAGGTCCTTAATGGAAAGATTTAAATCCGTTATATTAATTAATCAAGGTTTAGAAAATTGTTGTTTAGTATTTCGTCATTTTGAATTACAATCAATTTACGAAGATTTACGTACGGACTTAACGAAGATTTTACATAAACATGAAATGGTTTCTGAAGTTATTGAGGTCACTGCCGTTAAATTACAATTTATTCTAAAATTTTTATATGAACAAGATATACGTAATAAGTATTCTTCCATGAACAAAGAATTGGCTCGTCAAGGGATTAACATTCAATTAGATGGAAATGATTTGAAAAATTCCTCATCGTCGTCTCGATTGGCCACATACATTAACACTTCAACATATTCAATATCACAATCTGCTGCGTATGGCACCACGTCAACGACATCAACCCCCATGTCATCATCTACGACACCGATAATCAACGAGAAGCGCAAAGAAATTTCAAAGTCAATGGGCATCTCACATCAATCTGATCATGATCTTAGTGCCGAATCAATATTGGATGCTCTTTTATTGCAAGTTCCATTTGAACGTATATTTTCAAGGAAAATGTTTATTAAATTGTTAGCGCAAAGACATTTTGAAACCATGTGCACAGAATATGGAGATCATACTGCTAGAATAGATTACGATGATTATTGTTCGAGTTCAAATGAAGATTTATCTGATGATGGTTTCTTCGATAATAATAATAATAATAATAATAATAGTAATGATAACAATTATGATTCGGATTCTTTCCTTCAACATTATCAACATTATAATTCGAGCGGGCGAAGCTTTTTTTACGATATTGAAACGGGACAGCATGTATCTCAAGATTATGCTAGAAAATTCTTTATAAATTGGTTTGAACAAAATTACAAAAAATTTTGTTATAAATTAGTTGAAATTGGTGATTGGTTAAATGCTGCTTGTTATATTATTTTCATAGCAAAACTCTTGCTGAAAGATGATTGTAATTGGGTTGAACAATACGATGAAAGTGAAGGTGTTTGTACTACTGAATGGAGATTTGAAATCGTTGAAAAAATTGAGAGTGAATTAGTTAACTTAACTAAAAATGTAATTAAACCCGCTTTGTTGAAAAAAGATTATGACGCGGTCATTGATGTTGACGACATGATTAAGGTTTGGAAAACTTGGTGGTTATATGCTTGTAGTGAAGTATTAGATAATATTGAAACTTCAAATGCAAAAGTTGTTTTGGAAAAGTTGGAAGATATTTTAGAAATGACAAAAATTCCCTCTTGTATTAATAAGGGGAAGGAAGGAAAAGAATAGGAAAAGAAATAAAAGAAATCAATTAAATTCCTTTTTTTTTTTTTTTTTTTTTTTTTGACGAAATAGAAAAAAAAAAGAAAAATAATATTATTATATTTTGATTAATTTAATTTTTAAGGAAAAGAATCAGAGAAAAATGTTAATTTTTTTTTTTTAAAAAAAAAAAATCGCCGTCATTCTTTTATTTTCTTAACACGTTTTTCTTTGAGAGTTATTATCAAAGACAATATATAAAAAGTATTATATCATATATCAAATATTATTTTTTACATAACATTAGATACTCATTTAAGAATTCATTTTATTATAACCAAAAGTATATCTTAACTTCTCTTATCCATTCTTTTAACAGTAATATTATTAAAATATGTCGTTTTTGTTGTAATAATTTCATGATTTATAAATTGAATTTATTGAGAATTTTTTTTAATAAATACGTCTTACAATGCTATAATCACGTGATATTTCACGATGAAATATATTTAAATATTTGTTTTTTTTTTAACAAATTTTATGTATAAACTATAATATTAAGTTCACAATAAAATATATTTGTAATATATTTTTTTAAATTATAAAATATAATTTTAAGATATAATAGATATAATTTATAATTATTCTGATTATAATCTTTATTTTGTATTATAAAATATAATTTATAATCATTTTTCACAAAAACTACAATTTTTATTTTTTTTAAAAAAAAATTATTAATATTTTTTTTTTTATAAATTTATATATTTTAAATAAAGTTTACAATTTATTATTCTAATAAAATATTAAATTTTAAAATAGAAATTTAAATTAAATGTATTAATCTAAACTAATTTTAAATTTAGATTAAATTAATTTTATGATAATTTAAATAAAGATATTTATTTAAATTATTTTAAAATTTTAAATTTTAATATTTTATGATTAATCTATTTATTTATATATAACTAATTATATAATTAGTAATATATAATAATATAAAATATATATTTATTTATTTTAATTATAAATAATTTGTATAATTAATGTATTTAAATAATTTATTAAAATTTTACATCAAATAAGTTATATATATTTAAAGTTCATATTTAAAATTTTTTTATTTTTTTTTATTTAAAATATATTATTTATTTTAATTATAAGGATTTATAAGTAAATTTGTCTATTCATTTATTATAATTTTTTTTAATTTATTTTCATAAAAATTAAGATTTATTAATTATATATACTATATTATAAAGTATTTCTTCAAGCGTTTTGCAGGCAAATTTGCCTGCAATTTTATTTAATAATTAAAATTATTTAT